TACCTAGTCATCGATATCGAAGTGACACTTATGCAGGCTGGTGCATTCCATGTGCATCGTAAATAAAGTGAAAAAAAATAATTGTTTTTTTTTTACGACTGTCCATATCTTTGTCAAACATTTTCGTGCAGCTGGTATATATTTTATTACACACTTTTTGGCCCATCTATGCGCTCATATCACAGCCCAACTCCTGCATACACTTCACAGTTTGCGTTTCCTCAATTATCGAACTGGTATTTGTGCATCGTTTGCTGGCGTTGAAATTGCATAAAAGCCCGCTACCAATATGGAATGGGATGAGGTGACTAGTCGCGCCTGGTCACGAATATTGGTATGTAAATATACATATGTACATACATATGTATGGAAGTAGAAAATGTTTTTAAAATACTCGCTGATAATTTGAATTTTATCATTCATAGACTACCAAACAGCTGCGGGCAAGCTTAGTAATATTTTTGTTAAAATAAATATTTGTAATTTTTGGGACTGAGAAACCTCTTTAGCCCGCGAAGTTTCACTACAGGTTTATTAACGTCTTCCCGTTTAGAGTTTTCACTCTACGCTGGTAGAACCGTAACGAATACTATGCGGTAAAGAATAGCGCACTTAAATACATATATTGGCTTTTCTATGTAGTGAGCATTCAACATTCTAGCTTCGACTCTTACCCGCTAGTCGAAAAAACTCAACCAACACAAACAAATTTAACATAACATTAAGTGCCAAAGTTCGCTCAAGTTGCAATATATATATATATTTTTTTTTTGTAGGAATGATACTCCAATCAAAGGTCAGAATCCCTATATCCTACCAATAAGGCTTCTTCAGCAGTACTGATTCCTTATTTGGCTTCCAGCTGAGCCATCTTAAATAGACCAACATTAAAGTGGACCTCGGCCTATCACGGCTGCCGCTACGAAAACGTCCTATCTCAATATGGGTAAATTATATTGGCAGTTGAGATAGAGCGTTTTCGAACTTTTTGCTGAGGTAGGTCGTTCTTCATCCAAATTCAGAAATACTTCCGCGTCAATAATAAGACATAGTAGCCTACCATTGGGAACCCTTATATTAGATCATACACAGTGTCGGTGGTCCATATATAGCCCCTCTTTTCCAGTACCTTCAAAATGTTATTGCCAATGATGGTCAAGAGAATTGATTGATGGTCAGACAGAGATGCTGTCGCCGACCACGGAACTTAATGACCTCAGCAAAACACGTAGAGTATACCTTTCAAAACAAACAAAAATAAATAATTGGCTCAAAATACTTTTACTTTAATTTTATTAACAGAGAGATTACTTAAAATTAAGAAATGCCACCTAGAAGCATTCCTCGGCCGAGCGGAGGCGTTTTAAAAACGTACCTTCACAATCTGCACGCATCTATGTAAATAGTATGTACTGTATGCATGACATATGTAAGCTATACTATGAATATGCATGCACGGCTGTATACTATTGGTTTAGTGCCGGTGGGGCAACTTTGTTTTCCCATGCGTTTTTCCTACTTTTCCATTTTTGCATTTTCACCAATTTATGCTCTGGCTCGTAGGTAGGCTGGTAGCGTCTGGCATGGAATCGTGAAAATATACGCCTCCACTCTTTGCCATTTGTCCACTATATATACATAAATACAAGTACATATATACATACATACATATACTATATTCCATGACTAGCCACCGAATGTTGCATGCGACTCCCAGCTGAATGCAGATTTCATTTCCTTTCGCTAACTATGTATGTATATGTGTACATATATATGTATACTAGGGCGGGTTGATTTGTATGTATGAAAAAAAATTAAAAATCGTATAGCAAAAACGTAATCTACATTAAATTCTAAGAAAATTCTCTGAAGAAACCATGGGTCTAAAATCAAACCCTAATCCGCGCCTCTCGACTTGAAAATTTTTTTCCTCTTCTTTCCCTCAAATTATTTTCTTTTTTTGAAATATATTATGTTTTATTATATTATATTATAGTTTA